AAATTTGCCACGAAACCTTAATAAGACTAGTTTCGGAATCCTTTATTCTCTGCGGAGTTTGCCCTCCCATTTTCCTTCCTCCATCATCGTCTACTTGCGTTTTTCGACGATGAGTGAATCATCCCTCGACCACCTCGCCTCCCGAAAACTTCGTTCCGCCTTTAGCAGTGGCGTTCCGGGTATAAGCGTTATTCCCCCAGCTCGTAACTCGATAACTCGATAACTCGCCTGTTATCCGCAAGGTGCCGAGTAAATTTAAGAGGCCGCTTAAAATTCTACGCCTCCCTCCAATGAGGTCCCCTCGAGCCGATAGATAGATCTCGACCGATTCGGACCGTTAGTTACCTCGAAGAGATTCTTTACGAGAAGTACAGGAACTTCGTTCTTTTACCATGTCTTATGAGACCAACAGATACTACTATAAGATGTTTTGTTCTTTTGTCATTCTTTTCTTCTCAATATTTCGATTGGTAATGAAATGAACAGACAAGATGTGAGAAATAAGAAGTACAAACGATCTTCCGATCAACTTATTACTATATCGATTTGATCATATAAAAGATTAATTACAAATTATTATTTTAACTATATCTCTCTGTCTATAGTTACATATAATTTTTTTATTTTAATATAATAAAGTACTAAGAGAAAATTAATTTAATACTGGATGAAACACGTTTGCAGCTAAAGGAATTGTCGAAAAGCAATTCCTTCACAGATCTGACTCGGCAGTCTATAACTCCGCGAGTCGCGCTTGTCGGATTCGATGTAGCGGCAAAGCGATTCCTCGACGAGGACCGCTAGCGGAAAAGAAAACGGCGCCACGACGCTAGTAGACGCTGTAAATCACCGTCGAGGATTTACCGATCGCCGAGATGGCTTGTTCCGATTTTTGTCTCGTGACACTTATACAGGGTGTCCCTTTTATTACAGGCTCCTTTGTTGATTTCGATAAATTTTTCTCAACAAAGATGTCCAGGACAGTTTTTTTTTTGAATAATTAATGATTTATATAGAAATAAGAAAAGTACCAATTGAAATATTAAGAAGGAAAGAATGACAAGACAAACTTTAGTAATCTCTGTTGGTTTCATAAGACAGGGGAAACAAACGAAGTGAGTTCTTGTACTTCTTGTAAAGAATCTCTTTTGAAAATTTTAAATTTTAAAGAAGAAAATGACAGTAAGATGTTTTTTTAATAAATTTCAAATTGACTTTAAAATAACAAAATTTAAAAAACTATTTTACTTTGATGGCTGCTATAGTGCTGCTACAGCCGGAATTTGAATTTTCAGTTTTCTATTGACAATGTATTGATAAAATATTCATTTACAGTGCAAACAGTATTATTGACGTACAATTTATTGGAATTAATGCCGATGATAACAATCGAAGAGGTAATCGAATGGAAGAGCCGTGCCTGGCATTTATTATAACATTTTAAGATATCAAATTTGAAGGCTTGGTTGATGGCCTGGCTAATGCAATTTAACGTATTGACGCATATTTATATGTGCATGCGATTTCATCAAACAAACGGTTGTGCAAATAAATGTGATAGTGCTCGCGATATGGAATATAATAATTCACTTTCAGGTCGCATTAATTTTTGTTGAATATCCCGTAACGCGAATTTGACATTAAACAAAAAGACAATAGATAATTAAGGATTTTATTTTGAAAAGTGTTATTTATGTATTGTTAAACATAACACATGCGCACACATGTACGCACACATTTACAAAACATATTGAAAATATAAAAAGACGCAAAAAAATTACAAAGGTAAAAGTTAGGTATAAATAAAATTTATTCAATTATGAGCAAGATACGTATAATAAAATATTTGGTACACTGAGAAAAAAAATTTGTCAATCCCAAGAAATATTTAGTCCGATACGTTCAACTAAACATTTTAGTTATTTAACTAAACATTAGTTGAATTAATTAATTCTTGATTGAAGAAACGAAATAAATTGTTGAAACAACTAATATTTAGTTAACTAACTAAAATGTTTAGTTGAACGTATCGGACTAAATATTTCTTGGGATTAACAATTTTTTTTTCTCAGTGTATATAATTTCAAATTAGAAATTAAAAATACAAAAATTATAGTATCATTTCTCTTTAAAGAATTATGTAATGAAACAATTAATATTAGAATGCCTGTGTATAATTTAAGAGAGAGAGATAAATAGTATATTGTACAACTAGTAGGAAAAGTGGTCGATTCTGAATGAGTGTGAAGTTGGTCGCACGAGCGAAGCGAGTCTCGACCACTCTTCCCACGAGTTGTTCATACTATTTTTTCTAACAAGAGCGTGAAACAGGCCGTTTTTCGCGCTTGTTTTACAATTTCATTTCTCCACTAGTTGAGAAATGGCTCCATTTTTCAACTAGTGGAGAAATGGATTATTTTGCTCACTCAAAACAAGCGCGAAAAGCGGCCCATTTCACGCTCGCGTTAGGAAAAAATTATTTATGATATATATAACCCATAAAACAGACCGATAAAATGACATCGAACTTTAACAATGCGTAGAGAGCTCGCAGTGGTGTAATATTTGTCAGCTCTTTTTAAATCGGGTCTCCGATTGGAAACTTTACATGTCGCCTCGATATACTTAAATCGATTTAAGAGACATCGGTGGCGAATCGCACGGTGGTCCTCCATCGTTGGTCGATAATAATGTCCGGAAAAACGCCGAGGGCGATATAATAAATCGAAAACCCACTTGATATAAGTGTGTTCGTGTGCCACCCACGCACACGTACAGACAAACGCAGCCGTCCACTCTCAACGACGAGAACGTTTAACTGCATTCCAATAAATAACTTTTATGTGAACCGCGGCGTCGTTCTCTCGCCGAAGATTTAAGAACGGCAGTAGTTTAGGAGACAAGTTCTGGGGGGTGATTCGCTCCGCGAGCTCCCTAATTTCTATTTCCGCCATGACGTCACGTTTTCTCTCATTCCCGCAAGCATCCCTTGAGCGTCGCGGAAGTCGTTACGTGGTCGCATGAGGGTGACTTTTGTGTTCCGTGACGATGACCGCGTTTTTTTCTCTCATACTTTCCTTTCGGCGGGATGTCTCGTTACCACCGCGTCAATGATTAATAGCGGAATAATTTTCGTAACAAAACTACATTAAATATATTTGATAAGAAAAAGAATAAGTAGTTCCTCGTAAATCTTCAAATAATTTCGACAGAAGAGATTTAGTAGTCATCCTGTTATTCTCATTGCCCTCTTTGAAATAAAGTTTTAAATAAAAAAAGGATTTCCTAAAAAATGCTTTTACGGCGATTCGTTTACTGAGTTTACAGGATGTCACGGTATTGTCGAAATGGAAACTTGGCCGTAGTGTAAATAACGTCGAGAGGACGATTGATTGAAGTGAGTGATGGCTAGTTTCGTTTTAGTTTCGCGAATGATGGTTAGATTTCGATAAACGAAACGAATCGAGAACGACCGTTTGTCACATGGAGTCGGCTATTTGGGAGAAAGAACGTTGCGGATATCTTTTTTTATGATACTACTGTTTGATTGATCGTAATATAAAAAATATATAGAAAAATATTAAAAATATTAAGCACATGTGATCAAGGTCCGTCATTGTTATTGAGAAGTTAATTTTCAGGATTTTTATTGTTAATAACAAATTTTTCATAAAATCTGATGGTTTTAACGATATATTTAATCTCGCAATAGAACCGTTCCAACATGTTACATATCATAACTGCATGCATAAATATATAACTCTTAACGATAAATTGTCTTTTTCCGACCTTTCACAATCTTCTATTCTTCTAAAAATTATGACTTGATAAAACATTCCGAAAATTAAAATTGTATAAAAAATGATTAAAAATGATTAAATATTTTTTTCACAACACCTCCACGGAAAGTTAACTTTCTATGTCTGTAGAGAGGGTCGAAATTGGCCACTCTCGGGGCGAGAGGAGCTCTCTACTGGCATGGAAGTCGAACATTTCCATAAAGGTGTTGTGAAAAATATCGTGTGCACCTCGGGTCGAAAGCTTCTTCAGACTCGTGTGATTGCCGCTCTCGCCTTCGGCTCGGGCGACAAACTTCACACTCGTCTGAAAAACGCAACTTTATTTTTCCCCTTGGTGCACAATATACTATTTTAATTTAGAGGAAGCTATTTTTGTTAAATTACGTATTATTATTTGACTTTTAATTTCTAAATTTGCAAGAGAATAATAAAAAAATCACTTTTTGCCGTCACGAACGACGTGCGGCTCTACCATTCGATTAATTATTCGTATTCGTAATTTGATATTCCGCGCGCGCGACCCAATATTCGTGCATAGCCGCGAAATAACGACCGAATGGTTTCCAAACGCCGCGAACAATAAACCGGATTAACGTCGCTCCATTCTTGCGGCAATTAATGTACTAGTTTTGTCGCGGGTATATAATGCAGAGGTGTTAGTAATATGGAAACAATTAGTTAAGGGGGCAATCGCATGGTTGATCGAATTTTATATCTTTGTTTCAACTATGAGATAGAAATTCAAATATAAATCAACTGTGGTGGCGGGAAAGTGGCTCAACAGCATCACAATTAATTGATCAATTCGAAGTTGAATTATTGAGACAACGATTTCAGGAATTCTTTATCTCTTTAATCGAAACTTTTATCGGGTTGCGCAATTAAAAATAAAATACAGCGAAATGAAAACGTTTTGACTTTGCTTCTGGTTATCGATTGTTATTTCAAATATTTATTTTTTTATATAGTTTTTAATAAATCTGATAACTTCGCTTGCATACTTTTTCTCTAAACTTTTTAACAGATACAATTGTTTCTGTTTATGAATTAGTAAATTAGTTAATAGATTAGTTTTTATATTGGAACAGAAGAGAAGGAGAAACCGTTCTTTTATATGTTGTATATATTTTTAAAAGTTGATTTCGCTTTAGATTCATTTATTAAATTTATTACTAATTCTGGATTTTTTTTTTTTTTTAGGTGGTCTAGTGATTTTATCCAGTGCATAGAAAATCAGTTAATTCTATATTTGTGGCGACGACTAGAGATTTTGGGTAAGTGATAAAATTACTATATAATTATATTATAACGATGTTAAAGTATAAAAATACTAGGAGAATCGGAATTATTTTAAAGAATCGAAGAGAGAGACAATATAATATATATCCTATTTTTTTTATTCAAACAAACGATCGAATTAATAATAATATGTAGTATAACATGTAGTATAATTACTTATTTAAACGAACAAAAGAGCCATGGATAGACATTCATAATTAAGTTTTTGTTTAATCTGTTATTTGTCAAATGAGATTGAGATTTGCCCCTCTTTCCTTCGATTCCCCGTCGCGTCGGCCTCCATTATTGTTTTCCGGCTGTGGACATGGCGGAGGAAAAGCAGACGTCTATTCGTGAGATGCGCGGACGAAACATCTGGCCGAGGAAATTTAATTTCTAAGCTTTAGCTCTCTGCACTCTCGCTTAGCGCTAATTCCTCGCCCTTTGTAACTCGATAAAAATCGACAGTCCCCTGTCACGCCTCCTCTTAGTCTCTGTATCTGAGAGCAAAAAAAATGAAGGCGAAAAGGCGATAACCTTCGCCAGTTCCCTTTTCCACACTGATTGGAAATGTTTGTCTCCGAATCGATCTATGATCCAAGTCTGCTCACCATCCTCCTTCTACCATCCACTGCCTTCAGCCACTGGAATTTTCCTCGTACTGCGAAAAGCTCTTTCCTACCGAGAACGCTTCGATCGGTCGTAGGAACAGCTTGCCAATTCTCTCTCTCTCTCTCTCTCTCTCTCTCTCTCTCTCTCTCTCTTTCATTTATTGGCGGTTTCTGCTGAAAGCTCGAATCGAAAGTGTAAGGAGAAGAAAGAAAAAAAGGAAGGAAGAGACGAGAAAGAGCAGAAAGATTACGGATGTTTGAAACTTATTTGTGTTAGGTTCGAGAGAGCCGCGAGTGCCGGTATCAATTGAAACGACCGTCAATGTCGTCTAGGTTCTCTAACGTTGTTTTTGAATTTCTTTACGTCTTAAGTTTTACGAATTCCCGTTTTCTCCGGGTCTCGATTTAGTGTGTTGCATTCTGTTGCCGGGATAACTATTTGTAAAAGAAAAGCTCTTGTGTAGGAAGGGCGATAGAAATACGCGATAAGAAGAACATAAATAGATTAATTTGGAATTATCTAATGAATAATAAAATTAATTATATTAAATCAATCATGATCGTTATAACAATCGAGTAAATAGACATGTATCAATATATCAATATACAGTTGGGCTAGATCTTTTTGTGCCTAATATTATAATAATTTATGTATATTGTTGCTTCGTAAATTACGCACCGTTACTGTCTTGAATCGCAGTTTGAAATTGATGCTAGAATAGTACAATCACATAATTAAATTGATTAATAAAATTAATATATTGAATTAAATGTTACATATTTACTATATTTATATACGATTGTATTAATACTGTCCTTTTAAATCGAGCAATTATATGTATGTCATAAAACGATTTTTGGAATGAAAGAAAGCAAAAAGTACATAGCGACCTAGATTTCTGAGATCCTTTCCCGAACCAGCAAAAGCTGGAAGACGCGAAACACATCGAATATTATAGGACGAACCGTCCGGAAGAGTGCAGTCGCTTTTACGCGGGGATAGAAAGCGCTAGAATTTTCATCAAAAGCACTGTTTGCAAATAACGAATGAAGATAAAAAGTGAAATAGAAAGAGAAGAGGAGTCTAAGGGAGAAGGGGAAAAAGAGAATTTAAAAAGAACGACGTAGGAAAAAAATTAATTTTTCCGCGCGTGACATCCTTTGAGATAGCTTTATAGCGAGAATTCCGCAGACGCAGTCACCTCCGGCGAGGCCTTTGCATTCCTCCCTCCCTCCCTGCTTCTGCCTGCAATCCCCTTTACGCTGCTGTTTTTTCTTAATGATTCGAAGGGGTCATCCATCCCTTCTCACCCTCGGGCCGACTAATGTCTTTGTCATGTTGACTGTCGACAAATCGCCCTTTGAAGCAAGGTCTCATCCTATTCTTTCTAATATCACCCCTCGTATCCTTCTCATCTTCCACCCTCATTTCCCCTTCGCACGCATAGATACGTCATTTCTTTTTAGAGTGCCCGAAACTAGGCTTTTTCGTACAGAACGAGAAGGGAAACGGAAGAAATGTAGGACGAAGGTGGAAAAGGGAGCGTGGAGTTGGTATCACGCGCACCCGCCGCGAAAAATCTCCACCCTTATTTCCAGAAGGCAGCAAGCAGGAAATCAGCAGCGGGCGAATGGCTGGAATCAGATTCTACCGAGCCTTCCTTCTTCTTTTTTCCCTCTTTCCTTTCCGGGGCGGAGTGTTTAAAGCCCGTGAAATGGGCCGTCTCCCTCTCCTCCCTGCTTCCCTCGCTCTGGTTCGCCGATTTTCTTGCTCTCTCCCTTTCGCTTTCGCTCGCCCCGCAGGCTGAACTTCGACGCAGGGGATGCTCCTCGCTAATGGCTAGTAGTAGTTTCTCCCGAGGCTCGAAGGTATTTTTGGAGTACCGAACTTGCGGTTGCCGAAAATTTTAATTGCGCCGTCGGCTAGAACCTCGCCTTTTATTTCGTATACGCGTTACTCGATGTTTAAATTGTACGAGATGTTTCACAATAAGTTTTACTTCGAAATTCTTGATTACAAAAAAAAATTATTACGGAAAGGAAGACACTCTCTCTTTTTATTTCTCATTAAAATGTAAATCTACAAATATTTCTAATATTCTAAAAATTGCTATTAAAATATTGTCGAAATTTTAAAAATTCTTATAATTTTTAATATCTTTAAAATATATAATTTTTTTCAATTTTTAAATTCTCTGCTCTTTTTTCACATTTGAACGAAGCGAGATTATAAAAATGATCATAAAAAAGTAAAATATTTCCATGCAATACAAGGAGAAATTAGATACATCTATTAAGTCCGGTATCTAGGATTATCAAAGTGTATTATCAAAGTGTTGAGAAATATTAGTTATCTGTCTATTAGAACACAGTATATATCCTTCCAATTACAGTCGACCAGGTCCGAATCGTAGGTTCATCGACCTCAGAATTTCGTATCGGCCACGGATATTGTTCTGAAATAACGCCTGCCTCCTCAATCCATCTCCGCGGCGGCCATGATCGATTGTGTTTAAGCCAGACGAAGGAAAGAGACGCGGATAATACCGCCCGCCGTTCTTAAATTCCGATTTATATTTCAAACTTTTACAAAATAACGCTTCGCGCTTTAGATCTTATAGTTTTCTTCTTGTATTCCCCTTTTCGTTTGTCAACCATTACTTATAATTTTAAAGTTACAATATAGAAACTTATCTTTCTTTCAAAATATTGATTTATTATTTAAACAGATTTTACTGTTTTTATATATCATTTATATATTTTATTATAATCACTCTTATACATATATATGTTCTCTTTCTTACACACACACACACACACACACACACACACACACAAAAATAAGAAATATTATTCATGCACAGAAATACAGATTTAATCTAATTTATTTTATTGTATAATTGTATGTATGTTTCTTAAATCCATAAAAATAATTTGTCTAATATAGAGAGTTAATTTATTTTTTATATTGGTTTAAATTCAATACGTAGATTAACGAGGGATATAGTTATTAACAAGGGATCTAAATTTTAACAAAAATTGTTTTATCAATTAATTTCGGTCTGACAAGCTAAAAATAAGCGTCGTTTGTTTGAATTTCGCTTTGTGCACTTTTGTAGGATAAAATGGAGAAAACATGAAATCCTGATAACAGTTGATGTCCAATTAATTCAAAGTTGATCGTATTTATTTCCGTAGTACTTTTATCAGAGGTATCTAAAGATTTTTATTTCGCTGAAACAATATTAGCCAAGCCATTTTGCGTGTTTAGGAAACTCAGTTGCATGGAAATTTATTTACATTTTTTTTCATTAAATACCTTTTAAATTTAAATGCTTAATAAGTCATTTATCTTTAATAATATTATTATATTATTTAATAAATGTGTAATTTTTTATTCTTTTTTTACTGCTTTTGCAATATTAATTAATTAAACATTAATTAAAACATAATATTAATTAAACAAAACAATCGCATATTTTAATTAACGAAATTAATTAAAGTGAAATATATTTATTTTCAAAAGAATAACTTTCATAGAATATTATATTGCAAGTTTCAATTTGTGGTCTCTTTCTTTTACTAAGGCAGTAAGTGTGAAATAAGACTCAACGTAATATAATGGTTTAATTTCGAATAATGATTAAATTGTAACTGCTAAACTTTCGATGTTATGAATTATATTGTGGATATATGCATATTTTAATTAATAGTAATATACCGATGACTCATCACGTTTAAAAACGAAAAGATTGATATACTTTTCTGCTCAACTATGGTCAGCATGCAGATTGAACGGAACGTTTGATCGGCTGTAGAAACTCTTCCGAAAGGGAAAAATTGCGGTAGATATTCCAGTCATGCATATACTATGCGCATCGATCGGATTGTGAATAGAAACGCCGTAGCTAAATCGCCAGTCGAGCAAAAATAGCGATCGGGTATGAAATACTTTCGCCATTACTATCGCGCGACATAGACATCGGCCAGGTATATAGCATCAGAGATCGCACGAAATATCGGAATACCGGAACCGAACGAGATGTGGAATAAATATTCCACCCGGAGAGTTACAGCTACCGGGCTTGTAATCCCTAACGAACCGAAAATATCCATATTTCCGACCGATCGGCAAAGCGTCGAAACGTCGCTTCCTCCATTAGCGAATCGACCCGATCGAATATCGCAAAAGTCGAATGCCGGAGACCGACGATTGAAGCGTGAACAACGTTGTCGAAGCCGGAACAACGATGTAATCGACTAGAAGGTAGAATCTCCGTTATCGGAAGCCCCATTATTTGAATGTCCAACTATTTCAATATTCCGTGTTCTGTTAGCCAAACGGAATAGCTACGTGTATTAGACTATCTCCTTTCCTGTTAAAA